AACGCGTTTGACGGTGGACCTAAACTTTCCGTAAATCGCTTCGCGTCACAAAGTGAGTGACGTTGTAAGCGAATAAAGCTAGTTAGCTAGTAGCCGTTCACATTCAATTTATCATGCCCCGTAGATAAATTTGTCACCATTATACAATGTGATTAAAATCTTAATTATTATGATTCATCGACGGAATTCCGAGCTGCAGCGTTCAGCGACGTTATTTATAGTGCGGACGTTGCGACTTACGGTGTGCTCGACCGAAAAGTTCTGTAACCGAATAGCTTATGACTTCCGAAATATTACAAGAGTGACATAATGGGCGTGAAAGGTTGATATGTTTGGACGGAAACGACTCCGGAGCGGGCCGGTGGAGCTATTTACGAGCTGTTTATTCTTTAGTGCGTTGTTTGGAGTTCCCATAGCGATATAGCGTACAAACGTAGTGTAATAATTTACGCGATGGCAATAGGCCAATAGAGGTATCCCACGTGATTGATGATGGGAACCGCACGAGATACTTTTCGAATTCCTCGGCGGTTCGGCGAGGTGAACGTAAGCTATTACGATTTGTACTATTGTTTCGTCACATTCATCGAGCTATGTAACACACTTTATCCTAATTGTTTCGTCGTTTAAGTTGACAATTTAACTGAATTCAAACATAGTATAGTGCATTTAAGTATGTGTGTTTTACTTAGTTTAAATATGTGTATGCAAGACAAAAAGTGTATTATTACTGTTAAAAATATATGACGCAAACTTTCGTTTGTCTAATGTTATGTGAAATACATATTATAAGTAGTGAACTCTCGGTTTGGCGTTTTAACTAACTCAAAATCACTTAAATATTTTTAATATATCTCTGAGCGTCCTGTAATGCGTTGCAAATAATGTTTTAAGTCAGAATTATCTAGAATCTTCAAAGCCTTTATCTCTGTACGATCCTACAAGGCACCCTTTTACATTGCCAATAATCATTAATTATATAGAAATTAACTTTATTCCTACACAATAGTCTGTCCAGTCATAATTCATGAATTTTTCTCTTACGAATAATAATATGTATTACGGAATACCTCCTTTGTTGTTTCGTTTGTATTTTGCAATCCTCAATTTTACACAAGATTAAAATTTTGATTCACGGACCACGGGCTTGACAAGTATGGCACTGACCCAGAAACCGATCAATAAATAAGCTGTTTTAAATTAGAAACGCCTCCATTTTTTCCAATGATCGACGTCTAATGTCCCAAGGGGATTAAATGATAATGCAATATTGATATATCTGAGTTCGGCTTAACGCACAATGGCTGGCCTAAATAGTGTTCAGACTCGCCAAGGGTAAACAAAGATTTACACAAAACGTGATTGTGTGGACACTGTGGGGACGTTATCTTTGCATTCTTTAGAATTAGAAGACAAGGTTAGAGATAGCTTGGTGAAACGCAAGGTGATTTCATTGTCATTTTGTTATAATCTGTCGCATAATTCTGTTTGTGGTTGAACTGCTTCGATCAGTATCATTAGGTGTTGGATCCAATAAATATAAATTGATTGTTTATGCCAAGTATATCTTCGATTTTTGCGATAGGGACAGCCTTATTTGATCTACGTATTTCTTGTTGAATCCTAAAATATCGTTTACAAAAAAGCACACGTGTCCTAGTTAAATTAAAGATAATACTCGCATTAATTTCGAAGAAATACCGCTTCCAGCTAACGACTTGTGTCTAAATAAAGTACCGTTTGTCTTCTTCCGTTCCGTAAACAGTTTAAAATAATCGTGCTCCCCTAAATTGGAGTCGAGTAATCCAGGTGGTTACATTAGAGCTGAAAGGTCGTTCACCAACAGAGCACCAGCGCGCAACGAAACCGAAATATCGTTATGAGAATTCAAGAACCGTGAACTCGAGTACTCGAGTTTACAACCATTCGATACTTGAGCACCATTAACCACATTGTGATGCTTAAAGTCTGACGTAAGTCTCAGTCACCTATTTTTATGGAGATCATTCACAGAATAAATTTTTTGATCTTTGTTCCTCTTATAAACTTGGTTTTGGGTCTCATGATTTAATCATTCGCTCACCTTCTAACGTCCATGTAATTGTGCACCACAAATAAACTATAAAAATCACCCACGACGTGACTCACTATTTACAAATATTTCTACTAAGGCCATGCATATCGCACGTCCGCTAGGTCGGGGTTTCCAACTTCCGGAACTGCCTTGGACAACTCCATTAGGAAACGTTGGTATACACCTTTTCGGTTCATTGTTTTCTCTATCTGATAGTATAAGTAAATCTGAATTGTAACATACATCGTCAACGTTTTTAACGTTATTGGATTACTGAACGGAATGTCGAAAAGTGATCTGAGAAGATAGGACGAAATCGCTTGTCTCGCTGGTAGCACACGAAGCTTTTGAAATAGTATGGTAAATGTATCTTTGACTTTGTTACGCTTAATGGCGTTATGATGTAGCCTTACCAAAGGATGTTGCGTCGCAATAATTTTCATGTTAATATTCCGTTCGCGTGACACTCGTCCGTCATATCGCCGTGCTCTTCCTAGAAAGCGATGTGGCCCAGTCTTCGATGGGAAGTCACCGGATGTGGTAACCACGTATTGTTTATTTTCACTTTTATCTATTGAAAATTATATAATTTACATGCATCGCTCATTTGTTTTACTTTCCTGTTAATTAAAGTAAAATAACTTACACTGATTAAATAAAAATTAATATCTGCTTTCAAGCTGTTTTAAGTCGGACATAAATATCGTAAACTTACATTTACGTATCCTGATAATTATTTTCTGAGCTGTCGTGTGTTTTATTCCGTTTATTTGTGTTCTATGATTTCTATGTATTCTTTCTGAAGGATACTAGTGAAATGATTTATTTTACAATGTTGACTTATTATTCTATAGGTACGTTAATGTTATGTAATCCTATATTTCATATTATCGTACACAGGTCTTTCCATATTTCAGTGTTTTATTTTTAAAACTTCTCTCATAATACTTGAAATTTATTTATTTTACAACCTAAGACCACCCGTAAGTGTGCCATTGCGATATAGTGTTACAAAAGCTTCGCGGAATAATAATCCATCCCGCTACATTAGAGCTGTCGTAAACTCTACCTTTTAGTTCAAGGAGAACTACAGTGACAATAATCGAGACTTTTGCTTTCCGGGAATTGTGTTTGATGTATGAATTATTGTTACATTGTGAGGCAGACTTGCCTGAGATTTTATTAAGATTTCACTCGAAGTTATGTCTATCTCTCGGCAGATCTTGCTGTTCATGTCGTGGGTCGATTTTGTAAACTTGTTAAACCCATCTTGTGGACAAATGGACTTTGACCATTTCCGGGTGCGATTATAGTAATATGTTAAATACTGTTTAATGGAAGCTTGTGTAGAGTCAATACGTCGCTTTTGATGCATGGGTTTTCAATTGTATCTAGAGGTAAAGAAATGGTACATCGTAATCTACTATTTGTGTAAAATAAAAAGTTAAGAAATTCAGACATTTAAGATCGCTGACTCATCTATATGATCCGATAGAATTACAAATTTTCTGAGGGCTTAAAATTTGCCCGTCGTATTAGCTCGTCAAGCGCCTAAAATTACATACGGACTCTCCTTCATAGTTATTACATAAACGTAATTGCAGACGATTACGTTTATCAGCATGTAGACAATGCGAAATAAAGTTCCGAAGTATTTTTTAACCATCGTCGAAATCACGACTTTATAATATTGCATGTCTCCTTTTCGGTGACACTAAATAAATGATAGCTCTCAGTGCTAAATATCGTGCTCAAACATTAATTCAGACGTTCGATAATGTCGCATCGTGATTCGTGATCGGACACGACGGTAAATGATGTTATGCAAAGGTCTTTGTTTCTTTGGGGTCACAATTTCCATAGCCGGGTTGCTTTGGTGCATCAAATATACTCTTAATAGCTTTAGGTTATAATATAACTTATTTTACGTAAATCTGCCGGCACAAGAGACCGGGTAGTTTTAAATTGAGAATATGTATAGAATGACTATCATATTTTCCGTTAAAAATTCTAGTACATCTGATTTGAAGTCCTAATTTGTAAAAAGGATTTTTTGACTTCGTCTGTTTATTGTAAAGGTGTTTGGTAACCGGAACAAGAGTCGATTAATGGACGTATGTATGAATGTCTCTCAAAAATAAAACTTGTAGTTCAGAAACATAATATATTGTTATTAAAGTCCATTTCGTTCGATCATTACTTTTGTCATCACTGTCACGAAGCAGCGAGCCATCCTCACGTTTCTTGACGTAATCGCGATCAGTTTCCACGCCTCGATGGCGTCTTGTAATTTGGCTTTTTCTCTATTGTTACGGTATTATTTACAACCTTCTTTTTGCTAACTTTGAAGATTAAAATAAAAAAAGTGGTCAGAATGCTCCACAATAAGGTATCTAAGATAGAGTGTTTCTTGAAATAAGTAGTACACTACAAACGTACCAGCATGTTGCCCTTAAAATGACGCACAAATAAACAAGGAATTTATTTCTAATATAATTAGTAGTTTATTCTTTAATTTACTCATTTTACAATGTAAATATATATTTATTTAAACTATGGAGTTTTTTTTATATAAAGTTTACATGTGAAAAATAACACGTGACGTTACGTAGTTTACACGTGAGTACATATATTTACACAAAACTTTTGACGGATTAAAACACAAAATAGAATAGTTAACTTATTTCAAGGTCAATACTTACTTAAATTATTTATAGACCAGAAATAGTTAATGCATTTTAAACAGTTAACAGTGTTATTAAATTATTATAACAAAATATTAAACACGGTAACGGTTGAAAATACGAACTATGTATATTGCGTCGATGACTTTTTAAGACCAAATTTCGCATCAACTAATATAGGTCCACGTTTTAACCGTTAAAGTTTATCAATTTAACAATGCTGTTATCTATTTGTTTCGAACATGAATGAACATGATGATAACGTTGAAGAAGAAAACGTCAGCCTCATTAACATGTTCTTATTGGATTTTACGTAAGCAATAATACGAAGAAACAGTTCTATTTAAAAGAACATTCACTTACTTGTGTAAAAATAAAGTAAACCCATACAGCAAACAACTAATGTAATTATATTGCTCCACATAAATATACACTAGTGTTAAAACGTGCAATTCGATAGCTTTACGAGATATAGGCTACCTTGAACCGCGTTTTAGCATTTCGTGTTGCATAATACCAGTCAACTGATAAATAGTTCAAACCGTATAAATTAATATTTATTAAAATCATAATTGCCAAGGTCCAATTATTGCTTTAAAATTTAACAGCGAAAGGTTATAAATTTTTTGTCTAATCTAACGTAGAACGTTACACATTAATAATAATTTTGCACGCAGCCGATTGTACGCTCTGGCGCAATAGGTTTTGGGTTTTTTAATTCCGGGAAAATAAAAATTAAGTTCTATCTTAATCTACTTGCATGTAAATAAATAACAGTAATACTGATACAAACATGTGTCCAAGTGAAAAAAACAGGATTTATTTATTAAAAACCAATCACACATCCTTACGGAATAACTGAATTACAAATGTATGCATTGTTTTCATTAATGTTTGTAGTTACAAACGCGTACATCGTCGTGGGCAACAGCAATAATTTATAAAAGCTGAGGAGATTATTAAAATAAATATGATAACATATATGCTGTACCTTACCTTTACGTTGTGCGCTGTGTACATAGTTATGTGTTAAAAAGAAAAAGCAACTGGTAGTTTTATTTTGCTACCGATTCGTGACGGCAATTCAATTATCCAAACACATGTAAATGTCAGTGCAACATTCGAACAGTTAGACTCGAGATAAACTTTTGCGCAACTCTTGCGCCGCTCTTGGCTAACTGTTGCACTATTTTGCCTGCACGCTTTTGTTATTTAGATTTCTCACCTTGCCAATATCGGCTGTAATCTGTGGTAAATTATTAAGTGGTCTTACAAATTGTTCACTGGCTAGGGGATTGTTTATGTATAAATTCGAGTAGGTTTGTGATTTTATAGACGGGTCTTAAAAGGCGATACAATGTTGAAGTGGTATAAGTGCCATTGAAACTCGGGCAGGAATATTAGGACACTACTGACAAATAATTGAGTAGGATCCTCTCATTTAAAAATAGCCTATTGCACAAAAAATATATATACCTGTTTTGAAGCTGGTTATATGATTATAATATTGTTGCAACGGTATCACACAGGTAAAAGTCGACTGCGCAGTATAGTTATCGATGTATAAAAATAAAATTTCGGTTTACCCCTTGACATGGAGCTAACACATTTGTATGTCCGTTTCGCTAATCGGCGCTTTTACAGGCAAGTAGTTTGTTGTCTTTCTATTCTACGACTGAAACAATCTATTATCTCCCAGAGATTCGAACCTAAGACCTCTAGCACATAACGCATTGCTTGGTAACACATTTAATCATTTTGCTACAGAGGCGGTTATCGATGTATAATGTACAATGTTTAATTTAATATGAAGTATATTATTACATATAACATCTCAGCAATTTTACTGTTGACAATAAAAGTAGCAAGTTTACAGGCACCCATAATCTTTATCTCTGTCAATAGCTGTGTAGCTGATAAGAGTAATACATCTCAATAGTGCCACTTAGTCGTAAATTCTTTCATCTTTGCCGACTTTGATAAATTTATCGAATCCTACAATGATGAATTGTTCATGTCTTTAATCTTTACTTAATTTTTTTCAGGTATGTCATAGAATGTCTACCAGTCGCAGATGATTCATGTGTAAGTCGTATCTATATGTAGGCTACACAAAGTGTATATAAAATGAAACTATTTAAAACTGCGGTTTAGTATTTTAGTTAATTTAATTTGACTTCGGCACTTAAACTAATGATATAATATACTACGAACTAGAATGATAATTTGTTTTGCTTTAATATATATTCGTTTTTATTTTAATTAAACTAATAAGTTGGTGGGTATTCTCTTTGGAGTGTATTTAAAAAAGTGAAGTATCTAAAAACATCCTAAAGCTTTGTCTAGAAAGATAATTTCCTTGAACATAACGAGCAGCTTTCTGGATTAGTGACTCCCGTTTAAAATGCAGCGAGTGCGCCCGTCGCATTATTATGCGCCCGCGCAACTCACGAGCGCGATTTGACGAATGAATCAGTGGGCCGGTAACGTGACGACACGACAACGGTGTCGCACGCGCACTTGCCCATCGCACTGTTACGATCATCTTGTTTAACACTTTCATTGTATAAGCTTGTTATATGGAACATTATGTGGTAATTTTTACTCACATTTTATAATACTGTTACTCGCTAATTTAAAATACAAATGTTCGTACCGTCGTAACGGTTTAATTAGATTTTTTTGTTAAAGCTCGTTTATTAAATCGTGTTTAATCTCTGAACATGCAAATCACGATTGTCTAAATTCGTCCAATCTCAAATAAAATTATCATACAATTATGTTAATAGAACATGAATTATGTATCTGATAAATTAACTGCATTTGTAGCGATTATGTATTAAACATTAATGCTATATATTATGCATATTGTATAATAAAAACACTAATCTGGAATGATTGCATATTGTAAGCAATAAAAAAGGAAGAGTGCGGCCCATAGAATTTATACGTTCCTCACAATAAAGGTACTAGTCATTGGATAATAAATAGCGAAGCCGGCGCATGACTATGTTAAACGTATGAGTGCATCCATCACGCTCCGCATTCAATCGTCAACGTCGATATAAGGACGGGACGCAGCACTCTTTATTGCCAATCCCTCAAACGGCCCGTGCATTTAGTCGCCGCCATCTTTTACGACAATCGCCTCCCATTGTGCTAGAACACAACTCACTAAACCCAGCGTGCGACGTTTCTGAACCGACTTAGTTTTATTAGAACCTTCGCGCTCATAAGCTATTTATGAAACGCGGAATGCAATATTGTATAGAGTCGCCCGTGCCCCGATAGGATCCGATGCGTCGGCCGATACGCGCCCGCCCTATCGCTGTGCCTACGTGCGGGATTATCTCCTCCGAGGATCATCTCGGTGAAAAACGGCCCACGACGGCGGACGCGAAACGTAGCCTAGAATAGCGGTGACACCGCAGGGCACCAGAACTGGGGCGAACGTTACTATTCTCTCTTGAGTTATTAGACGTCAGCGGAGGCCGTGGTTTGCGGTGTTCGCTCCAGCCCCATTCTTCCGACTCGAAACGTTCACAATATTCGAGTTACACATCCGCGGTCGCTCGCATTCGAAACGGACACTGTTACACGATATCGCTAACGACTCTCTCCTTTATGCAGATGAAAATGCAGAGCGGAACGTTTCCTGATTCACTCGGATTCCCGTATATTGTCAGAGCCTATTGTTGCGGGCCGCGCGTTCTCGATTCGGTCGCTTCGCAGTTCAGAGGGCGACCGTTGTTCCGGCGTCTTCTCACAACGCCGGCGAGAGCGCGGTACCGTAAGGCTTCCGGTGATCGCTATCTCGTCTTTGCACTCGCAACATCGCATAGACTACTTCCGAGATACGCGACATTTCTAATGGCATCATGATTACGCATTTGTTTCTCCTCGTTAATGCAAATGGGTATTACAGATTCCAGTTTTGGAAAACGCGATGGGCCAATTTATTAGGTTACTGGCTTTGTTCGTCGGTCAACTAAGGTTGGGTTCTTTGTTTTCCTTTCGATTTGTTTACATCCATCGCCTTGTACGGATAGCGAAACGAGCGTTTTCAAGAAAACACGTAAGCTGCCGTGGGTTGTCATCTTGATTATTTAAATTTTCGCAACCCGTGAACCCACCGGTTGCGCGGTGAATCATAATTTTTATGATAGCATAAAACTGTTGAATAAGTGCCTTTTAGGTCATCTAAAAGTCCTCGGGGATTTTGAAAAGCACTAAAACGTCCAATAATGTATTTCGTTTACTGCTTATGAAGAAATATGCGTCTTTAGTACGAGATTGTGAGATATTTCAAGTCGGGAGAGCCTCCGGCTGCCTCGCATTATATTAGCCGACCACCCTGACAGCATCGGTTGCTGCAGTTTAAAATGGCTAAGCTGTTTATCGCGACCTACTTGAATACTCCCTTGGATATGAGTGATGTTTATCATTGAGACTATTAATCATGACTAATGATCGACTACGGACGTTTGCGTTTTGACACTTCTGCATTCTACCAGTGCATAATCTGAAATAATATTGCAGTCCAGGAAGTTACTTTTCTACGTAATTATTTATATAAGTGTTCCATAACACCAATATAACTGCACGACCGTCTACCGAAAATTCTGTAACACGATACATTTGGGTTGGTGAACATTTGGAACTATCTAATGTTGTGTTAGCTTTGAAATTGTTTCGTGGATGTCAAATTTAATTGGTGAAGAGATTAGGTTACTTGTTAAGTAATGCAGCTGTCTTATTAGTTGTTGTGTAACAGAAGTCATGATAGGTCAGCTGGAGCGATTCTAGTTATATTAGTATTACGATTTTATTCAGAGATAAAACCTTTAACAAGGCGAGGAACAAAAACAGGAACGAAATCAATTTCCATTTAATAACACTGTTACCCTTTTAAACGTTTCTCATGAATCGCTTTCGAAGAATCGCCCCAAATTGTAGGTCCCTCGTTTACTGCATCACTAAATCTTCTCCGAAAACAATGCCTCGCCGGTAATTATTTCCAAGTGTTTGATATTTGCATGAGCCTGCGTCCTGACCCCCTAACCGGGTGCATTGTTCCTTCGAATTGAATGGCTAGCTTAATAACAGGCGTTCGTTTCGTAAGTGGGACGAATCTTGGTGTACTGCTGTACGAATCGCGGTTTATTGTGGGATTCTTATGGTTCCGGTGTTTGTGTTCAGTAATTTAGTTTCGCTTTTGGGAAAAGGCCTATTTATTTCTTCTTCGTTTAGAGTTTTATTAGGTTTGAAATTGTAATTGATTCATTTTAACTGTTGACTATTTCAAACGTTTTCACTCGTAATTTTTAAGATGATACTAACGAACTCTTTTTTCACAAAACATTTTGAATTCCCTAGAACCTACGATATGTCAGTTAGGAACTGTTATTTTTAAATGCGTTTTTACTTCAATTCCAAATACAAATTGTAACTATACATGTAAGCATCTGTTGTATGTACACTGTAATTGTAAGTTTATTCGAGGTCAATTCGGCTGCAACGAAACAATAGGACCTACTTAAAGTATTGAGATCTATGAACCGGCGCATTTGTGATGTGAACGCTCGAGGGGAGCTTCTGACCCTGGGTAGGACGATGACCATTAATTATTCTATTATACGGACATCGCGTCGATAGATGCGCGCGCACACTTTGATCTCATTATGTTGAGCACAACTGCGAATGCTTTGATATTTTTTTTATTTATCTGTTTGATTTGTATAGGTGCAATGACATGCTAGACACAGGGCAGAGACAAATGACCGATTAAACAAGATGTTCATATGTTTACTGTTTGTGTTTCTTAACGTTTATGTATAGATTCATATTCATGAAAATATCAGTAGTGTACCTACAATTTACAGTTTATCAAATTCGTAGGAAACGTTTTTTGTTATTTTCCGTTGGCATACATAAATTAAAATGCCTTTGGTTTAAAAATTATATATGGGCTATTATACGTAGACTGGTAAAAATTTGAGTTCCAGAACTTGCTTGCTTTGTCTATGGCCAAGAAATGTAGTGTGATGGTTTAATGGATTTTTAATAGGAATACTTCGTATTAAAAATTATTTTTCGTCTAAGCTGCGCAAAGATACCACGGTATAGCGCTCTAAACACGCTCGACCTAATTTACCTAAGAGCTCTTTTGATGAATGAGAATCCATTTAACTCGATTTAATGAGTGATGGATAGCCGAGATTAATTAAATAGTCAGCATACATGACTTATGGTATCTATTAGCCTATGATGGAATTCGATTTTATAAACACGTGGTTATTTCGAAGTTGAGTGAGCTGCAAAATCGTTCGCACTACAGTTTTATATAAATTCAGTCTATAATTACATATTTGTATTCCAGTAAATGGATAAGCAATTAGCGCTTTCTATACTTTGAATTTTCTCTTGATTGTTAGTTATTTAGAAAATAAATTGGGAACTATTCTTCATAGTTTAAAATTAGTTTTGGGTACATTTTATTTAAAAGTTGTGTCGTTCTGATGCGACTTAATTATTAGCTGTTTCTTAATATTCTTAATATCTTAATATTCTATAAAAACAAATACAAGGAACAAGCGCTAATGACGACAATGAACCGTGTCGCAACCCACGCTGAATAAATAATTCGTTAATCACACCTAATTAAGCATAACTGTTAAGACGAGATGTATCTTGTGGAGGCTTGTTTTCACACCGTTAACGGTCTCTCTGTCGGTTAATTAGACAGCGATTAAGTTAACAATTCAGTGTATCTAGAGGCAACAGCAATAGATCAGCTCCTAATTGTCTTAATGAGTCGCTTCCCTTCAGCCGGCGCCTGCGCATGGATACACGCGCTTTTAGATAAATTGTAGGAAATGTAATTAAGCTGAAGAGCCTAATCATTTTGTATGTCGCGTTGTCATTGTGGAGTTTAATATCGCTATTAAACAAGGCAGCAGCGATCTCCTATATTTTTTAAACAATAGATGATAAAGTATGTACAGAATGTACATAGAATTACCCATATTTTGTCTCTTTGTTTTGTGTTTATAAGGGTACACAAAGGGAGATAATTGCTTTTTCTTGTTCAACGATAACAAATCATTAATACTATTTTGTGGGATTTACGTATCGCGTTATTATTTTAAGTAAAAGACAGAAGTTAAGTGATATTTTAAAAACAGTATGTTTTCTGGAACTAATAAGCTTTTATCAAAGTTTCGTGATCAACTTTAATTTTCTAAATGTAGCACCTGGTCTGTTACACAGAATTAGATTGTAACGAAATTCTTAATTTGCAGCTGCTGTTGCATTGATAGTAATGACCTTCAAAGCCAAAATTTGTACATTTGTAGTCCGGAACATCTGCCTAGTGACGCACTGCCCTTCGTACGCACTTGAAAACACGATATGGACTGGTTTTAATATAAATCAGAGCGAATTCTACTTTTTTGGCCTTCGAATACATTATTATCATTTTGATTTGTATGCTTCGCTTCGTTGTGATATTTTATCCCTAATCCAACTTTAATTAAATAATTTAAAAATGTGTGTTCTCAGACTCGTAACATTATTTATCTTTAGTTTAATAATTGGGTATAAATTCACTACTATTTACTTGCCAAGCGCTATCTATGGTAAAACAAAACGTCGCTCTTACTGAAGGTTTTGAAACGGCGTGTAACATAGTATTGTATAAGTCACATGGAAAAAATATATTGTCCGTTATGCAATAGATGCGCTTTGAATAATAAAGCGAAAGCCTCAATAAGATATAGATTATAGACTATTCCCATTTATAACACATAAATATGGCAATAATAACCAAGGCTGCTCAGCCTCCAAACATATAGTTAGCGTTTACGCAGATCTAAGCGTCTCTATTAGCCAATAGCGATATCTAACATCTTAAGAGTGCATAATTGTAGGAGCGCCCATAATTTATAACGACAGGATAATACTTAGATGGAGACGTAAAATGTCAGTCCGTTTGTCCTCGGCGCGCTGAAGGTGCACCGGTACAATAGAAATATTTCGCTCGAGATTAGAATACAATTACAAGGCCGCGTACAGATTTGAACGTTTGGAAATAAAACGGTCTTAGGCTTTTTACAGACTGTGATATAATTTAATAGTTCTTGTGTAGACCGCGGATATCATTACCAGTAGTCCAGTGGTTGGACCAAATGTTTTTTTTTTATATCATTGTATAATTTTTGTATGTGTACTTTGGTGTGGTACAAACTATTTGAATTTGGACATATTTAGTATTTCTCTGGCTATAAATATTGCCGTAAAGATAGATTAACTTGTTATAAATTAATTCATTAAAATATTGAGGGCCACTGCTGGCCTTTTGGCTTTTTCCAATGTTTGCCCTTATATATTATTATAGAGTCGTCTGAAAACAGCTTTACAAGGCCGCGTACCGATTGTGCGTTCTGAAATAATCCGATCTCTACGCTCGGCTGGTCGCACGTACTATTGCCGATTCGGAAACGCAACTCAACTGAAGAACAAAGGGCTATTTTCGTATAATCTATTTTCGCCATTTTGTAACTATTAATGAATCAAGCAATTATTAATTTAAAATTTTTGGAACTGCAACTTTTTAGCTGAAATATAATTTTCGTCGCTTGTGTAGTATATTATAGTATGTATAAAAAGAGAAAAATATATAAAATAAAAAAAAATATAACATTATACTATGATAGTCATAATCAGTAATAATACTTTCGTTGTTATTCTAGGCCCGGTGCCTAATGATATTAATAGACTAACATGTTTTACTCCGACAATTAGCTAATGCATACACAATTATGTACCCGATAAGTATGGTTTTGAATAAGTAACACTTTTACTACTCCAGTAATAAACTTGTC